CAGTTCACTCACTGACAGAGCTCTTCTTTACATTTGCACATGCTATAACAGTGCTCTAAAGCTGAGAGTTTGTCAGCATTTTCACTGTAAATGTGATTTATCGCTCTTCTATAAAACTTAGCTGCAAGCTGATCAAAGTCAAGTGACGAGTTTACTCACTGTGAGACTTGCAGAACAAATATGACCCTAAATATACTACTACCTTTTGGTTCTTTAGAAGATAATAAAAAATGAGTAAATGTAGTATCAGCTGTGCTTGTTGGTGTGTTCTGGTCCATCAGCAGAACATCTCTGTGTTCTGCACCCTGGCTTCTGTAGTTTGTTTGCTTTAATCTCTTCTTTACTCTCCTTATGTGTTTAAAAATTATCTAGTTTCCTTCAGTCATAAAGCTTCACATAAAGGCTGATATTTGGACTCTTACTTCCAGCTTGCTCTCATGCAGCTCCACTGATATTTGTAGGGTAACTAACTCCTTCTGGCTTCAGAATACTGTGCATCAAGCATGTCTAGCTGGGAAATCAGGGACTGACCATAAGATTGATCTGGCCCAAGATTTCTGGAAGATGTCTAGGGCTTTGTGTCAGCCAGAAAAGCCTCTATCAGGAGGCACAATTGTTAGTCCAGCACTGTGGCCTCTCTTGACTCAGTTCCTGCCAGGACTTTGCTACATCTACAGGAACACAGTAGTCTGGCATGGGTCTAAATCCAGGGAAGTCTGCTAAACAGAAACCTTTGAGTTCCAGAGATATGTGGTTCAGTCAGGTTTCTTCATTTTCTAGTTCAGTTTTCAGAAAGAACCTGTTTGCAATTATTAAAGCAGAGTATTGACACACATGTTCAGTTGTAGATATGGTAAGCTAGTTAGTAAAAATGAGTGCTCACTGTTAAGGAATAAAATGGCTGGTGGAATTCAAAGTGGATAAAGGCAAAGCAAAGGGGAAAATGTCCCTAAGAGATTACAGAATGACGGGCTCCAAACTGGCCACTGTCTCTCAAGGAGTCACAGCAAACTGCTTAGTGTTGGATGTCTGCCCTAGGAAAAGCTGGTAGAGTGCCAGAAATTATTAGGAATAGAATACGGGGACTAAGCAGGAAACAGCCCTTGCACAAATTATATTGCATTAGCATCTGTAAAAAGAGTGGAAAAGGACAGCAAGGAAGTCTAAGACATGGAACAACAAAGGGACAAAATACTAATGCATTGACAATTCCTCAGGAAGACTCAGCATCTTTCAGTGTATACAATAAGCTCTGTCAGAGCATCCAAATCTCTTAGATGCTGAGGTCTGAGGAGCTGCATTTGTAACTAGTTCTGTATGTCATGGTATTGCCATGTTTTCTTTTGAACTGGTAGTGTTGCACTCATTAGACCAGATGAAGATGTCTACCTCTGACATCTCTTTGTGATTGTCATGGGGCGACTTTACCTTTAAGGTGGTTTTGGGAGCTAAGGAAGTTGAAGTTGCTGGGGACTGATGGGAGTCTTTTCTCCTGACCAATTATCGGTCATTACTGGGAATTGACAGCAGTTTTGACCATTGAAAAGTGGGATCAACTTGTGAACCCTACCTTAAGATGTAAAGCTAGAGATCTCTTGTTCTCTTTGTTTCCTGGCTGTGAAGGGTGGCAGAGCTCCAGGCCTCCCGTTCCCTTCCCAGGCCATGTGGCCGGGCAGGGGCTGGGCTGGGCCCAGCGGCTCCCGGCCGGGAGATGGGGCCTGTGGGGCTTGTCCCGGGCTCTGGCCGGGCCAGGCCGGTCCCTGGCTCGGCTGCAGTTTTTGTCATGATGGAATTCACCAGAGACTGCCGAGTAAAGAAAGGGAAAAAAGCTCTTGACCTGTGGCAAGCTGAGACAGCAACCACACTCTCCAGAGCAGCCATGAGAAATCTTCCATCGCAGACAGCTCCAGCTGCTGCTCCGGCAGAGATCACAGAACCATCTACAAAACCTGGGCAAGATTTTAACCTTCTCATTACCCAGATGAGACTTGCAGATTAATCCTTTTATCCAGAGAGAGAAAAAGAGAGTAATCAACATGTAAAGAGACTTTATAAACTATCAGAGACAGTAAAGAAAAGAATTAAGTTTCAGAAAAGGTAGAAAATAAGGAGATGCTTTATGAGCTGAAATACCTTTCTGTTGAGGCTATGGAAATGGACAATAAACTTGAAAAAACTCCTTTAATTCATGACAGTATATAGGGAGGAATAGAGTGTTCAAAGTGTAAATTTTGAGTAAAAAGTAGAGTGATTGTGATACAGTGAAGTGCTGGAATAGAGTGAAGCGAAGATTTGAAGTAATCTTTCTCATTCTAATGTAAGCAGTTCGTTTCCTGTCATCACCTGTGAAAGGATGGTTTTAGTGTCCTGAGTGTAGTGCAGATTTGTCATGCTAGATGAGACAACCATGGCTGTCCATGCTTTTGCCATCATGGAGATGTGTTGCTGCAGAACACCTGCCTATAATTCATGTTTGGATGAGGTTAATTTGCCCTTAATTTATGTGTAGTAAAATATCTGTAACTGACTGGTGTAAGGCTCCAGTTCTGAACTCCAGATCTGAAAGCATCTCTGCAAGCTTCACTCAGAGGGCAAGTTAGCTCATCCTGAAATAAACTGTGGAAATTATTACAGATGCCAAAGTAAGGTGAAAGAAATACATGCAAAATAAAGAGAAAGAAAGGGGTACTTACAGTGCTTGGTGATAGGATATAAGATGGAAACTCTCTAGTACTCAGTTCTAAAGTGATGTAGCTAGGTTTTATTTACTAAAATTGTGTTTTGCATAATCTGATATCACATCTCTGCTTTCAAAAGCATACCTGAAGTGAATTTTAAGACTGGCAATCATCCAGTTCACTGCAATTTTCAGGTACTGGTATGCTACCTGGAGTTCAAAGTTCATTTGTTTTCTTAGTCTTCCATGGCCCTGTGGTCTCTAGAACATTTTTTCTCTCCTTGGACATGTTGTGTAGCACGTATTTTTGGGATAGATTCAGACTGAGGTTGTAATTATCCTACATACTTGTGGTCTGGCGTGTTATTATCCATCACAATACTGTCATGTGCTGGGCATTGACAACGTACTTAAAAAGTTATTCTTTACATGATATAACTAGCATGTTGGGTAATTTTCTTGTGGTATAAGGAAACTTTGCCAATGCTTTCAGTTTCCAGAAGAGTTTCCAGAAGTTTGTTTATTTAGCAGAGGGTGCTGCCTTGTGCAGGCAGACAGTCTGAGCTGCATGTTCTTTACAGGTCCTTCTTTGCTGTATGGGAAGAATAGGATGAAACAAATGATCTGCAAAGTATCAAAATTTTACAAAGTAATAGCATAGTCTAATCCTTTCACCTCATTTCAGTTTCCCTTTCCAGTCCTTTTACAAGACACTGAGCTCAGCATCCCCTTGCAACTTCAGCTCCTGTGGTCACCCACATCATCCCACCTTCAGATTCTCATTTCACTTAGCAAACGTGGGAGCGTGCTCTCACCTGCTTGGCCAAGTATCGCTGTTCTCAGCTGTCACTCTTCTTGACTTCTGCTTTTTAAATCACCCCACTTTTGTGGCAGCTTATTTGTGCTCTTCAGCACTGCATAGGACACCTGCTCTGTGTTGAGTTTCCTTCCCCAGGCTGTGATTCACTTGCTTGATTCTCTTTCAGACAAACACGCCGTGGTGCTTGGAGATTACTTGATTTCCGCATTTGAAAGGGCTTCTATTAATGGTATAATGGTGACCTGCTGGTTGCCTGTAAGATAATGTTTTTCTCAACTGCTTGTACTCAGTACATTGTCTGTGTCACCTGAAAACCCTACACTGTGGAGAGCAGAGACTGACAAAGCTGAGTATTCATACTCACTACATTGCCTAAGTCACCACTAAGGCAAAAAATTACACGGTGAGGTTTCAAGTAAAACAGTTGAAAATGGGGAGAGGGGAAGAAAAAAGACACTAAGAGGGCTGAGCAGAGCATCAGGGTTTATGGACAGTCCACTAAACGGTTATCTGCTACATTTTTGCCTGTTCCAATTACAGAGTTGGGAAATTTCCTCACAGTTTCAAAGATACAAATTCTGTGAAATTCCCATTTCTGTACCGGATGGAACAAAGTGGGTGGCAGTCATTGGTGCTGTGCTGGCCTCATCAGTGACCAGTAGAAGTTACCTTGTGTCTGTCAAGGAGCTACAGACTCTGCAGGATGTGTTATTTACAACCCCTAAAGTCTGTATATGTCCCCATTCTTACGTGTTTTGGTGTTTTTCCCTTGTAACTCCATGATTACAGTTTGTTTTTAGACATATAATTTCAGATTACAAACCCTAGGTATTCTCTGGAAAGCCCCATTTCCCAGGCATCTCTTTTAGGATGGGTGAGATTAACCATCTTTAGAACAACACTTTGTTAAGTGATGTGGAAGTGCACAGCTGCCTCCTCCAGTCCCAGCCCAGGACTCCCCTGCCCTGCTGCTGGAGCCCTCCTGGACCCAGCTGCCACTTTCTCACGTGCAGATTCAACTCATGCTGAGCCTGTATCCCAGAGCACACACACAATAGCTCCCCAATTAGCATGAGTAATGGGGTTTGTTTCTGCTCACGTTCTTTGTGCTTGCTCTGTCAGGTTTGTGTCTCTTGTGTATTTTGATTCTGGTTCCTCCTGCACTGACCATCTTGTTCCAATGTCCCTGACCAGACCAACTTGCTGGAATAGACATTGTCATTCTCCTACGTGCCCTCATCCAAGCTCCCATCAAATGCCTCTGGTAACTTTGTTGCAGTTTGGGGACAGGTATCTTTTATTTCTTCTTGCACTTTAGTAGGATATGTGGTGGATTTGCTTTCTTAAAAGCAAATATGAAGAGTTTGTGTGAGCCCCTCTTTGTGTGAGCAGCATGTTCATGCTGTCTTCACTTGCTGGCTTGTGAAGCTGTTTCAGAAAACTTGGTTCTGAAGTGCCTGACTGAGCTGCTTGAATTTATTGACAAACTTCTTTTTCCTCTAGATACAGATCCTAATATGGTCAATGCAGGAGACATGAATGGTTCAGGCAACCTGATGGATTTTCTGGATGAGCCTTTTCCCGACGTTGGAACTTACGAAGATTTCCATACCATCGATTGGCTGCGGGAGAAATCGCGTGACACTGACCGCCATCGCAAGGTAGCAGTGTCGGGCTGTGGTGCATCCCAGCCCCGGGTCACAGCCATCCTGGCAGTGACTAAGACAAGCCTTTTCACAAAGTCATGGCTTCCTACCTTGTTCCATGACTTGAGGAGAACTAAACATGTAGATGTGGGATGACTTGAGGAGAGCTTTCAAATATATGGACGTGGGATAATCCTGAGTTTGTAAATATGAAAGGGCTGCTGCAACTTAATGAGCTTAATGATACTTAATGAGCATCTCTGAGTAAATTATTAGGACTGAAGGAAGTAGAGAGTAGAGAAATTGTATGCACCTTCTAGGAGTTTAATTATTTTAAACTTTGTACTCTAAAACTGTCAACCCAAATCAGCAACACATCTATTTGTGTGTTTAATTTCAGATTACAAGCAAAAGTAAAGAATCCATATGGGAGTTCATCAAGAGTTTGCTGGATGCCTGGTCAGGATGGGTTGTAATGCTTCTCATAGGACTGCTGGCAGGTATGTTTGTGGTAGTGCTACAGCTATGCCTGAAGCATCTCACCCAAGATGCTGCAGTACCATCTGCTTCTCTCTGTACACTGTATATCCATTGATGGTTCTTTTTTTTTTTATTTTAAGCTAAAAAGACAGTTTTGCATTCATGCAATTATGATCCTAAATAAAAATACCCACTTGAAAAGTCTCCTTTTGAGTGCTGACCTAGAATAAAAATGTTTTCACCAGTAGAGGGATTATTCTGTTGCTTTGGGAAACCTGCATTTGTGTGCTTCATACTCGATGGGCTGCTTTGACTTTCTGAATCTTTGCTTGCAGAAGTCAATTTTATTTTTAGGATTTTTTTTTTCTTGTCATCACTTTAATTCTGCAAGTAAAAAATATGATGTGGGGAAAATATTGGCTGTGGACACTCAAAAGGGGAGTTTTATAAACTGCTGTTTCCACTGGGTTATCTTCTCTATGTATGCATGAAGGCAAAATACAATTTCAGACTTGGTTTCAGATCTGCTTCCAGGCCAGACAGACATTACATATTTAACAGCCTGCTCAAACTCACATGGCAAATTCATTAATTTCCTCAATTTCTCCTGTCTTTTCCTCAGTTTAGCACATCTTCCTGCTTGGAAAGCTGCACTTCTCTGATCCAGCTCAGACAGCTGCCATTTTTTATGCTTTTTCAGTGATGTCAGGGTGCTCCTGTGTCATGTTGCTTGGTAAAAGCACCAAGTGAAGTTTCCCAGTTTCCAAGGGGTGATGGGAATTTCCTGCTCAGCATCTGTCAAGTTAATATCTTTATTACAGTTGTTAGGAGCCTCAGCAGTACTGGTAAAGTTCTTGAGAAAGCATTTCTGAAGTGACATGTTTGGCAAATTATGCAATTTCATAGACGTGTAATTGTTTCCACAAAAACTTTGTTGGGAGAATGAGATGGGAAGATGAGATGGCTGCTGAGTCCTGCCTGAGGGGTAGGGTTGGTCTCATCTGGGATGAAGAATTCTGCCTGCAAATAAAGTTAGAGCAAGCCCTTGAGGGCTCTAGTGACCTCAGTAGTCCTCTCCTCATAGAAGGAATATGATAAATATGCACCCATTCCCATTTTAGTAAAAACATTCTAGAAGGTTTTATTCAGTTATAATTTGCAATGAAACCTTGTGCTGAAATCCTCAAGGCTGTTAAAAGCCAGAGTCCTCTGATAAGCCCTAGCCCTGATGTGCCCAGCTTGGGAATGGGGGTTGAGGGTAAGCTACAGCTGAGCTCTGGTAGCTTGTGCAACATTTTCATGGGTACAGAGCATCATGTTTTATCTCAGAGAGTCAGACCAAATTAGTCAGGTATCTCAACCAGGTTTGGGAAGGGAGGAGATGCTGGTGCAGTCAGGAGGCACTTACTGTTGTTTTCCTCTTAAAATATTGCCTGCTCAGAGAAAAAAGCGTGCCACAAGGGCATCTGTGTGATCAGATGGGATTGTGTGGACCAGCCTGGCTCCTCCCTGGTTGCTCCTCTGCTGAACAGGCAGATGCTACTGCTGCTCCAAGGGGAGTAGCCTGGCTTGGTGGATGGACACTGGGTCCAGGAATTACTGGAGGCAAGCAGAAAGTATGGCAAGGAGCGGGAGACAAAGGGAAAAGCGGCAGCAGCAGTACTCAGGACATCAGAGTGTTCTGCCCCTGCTATCCCTGTGCTGGGCACGGAGGACAGCAAAGTGGGACTCTTGGGAAGAGGCTGTCAAGGGCTTCCAGAGGTTTCCAAAAGCATTTGGGTTGTTTACCCAGGCCCAGGATTTTAAAAGGAGCTTTACTGATCTAGAAGCCTAAATCCCATTGATTTGGTAAACTTGATCTTTCAGATTTTGGAATACCTCAAAGCTGCACCTCTACTGCCAACATGAGCCAACAAGGCCGAAAGGAGCAATCCTTGTTCTCCAGTGCATCTGCCACTGGCCCTGTGCATGTGTAGCTGCACTGGGCGAGTGAATATTGGTTCTGACTTGCTAGAAGAAATGGATTTTGGCCAGATTAGTTTTCAGTTGATTTGTGGGCTCAACAGTGCTGGTCATCACAGAGCCACAAGCAAACAAAATATAAGTGATGGGGGCAGGAAGGAGAGGACCATCCCACTTGGCAGTATGAGACATATATCACATCATACATATACATCTCTTGTCTTTTTTGGAGCGTCATCAAACCTGCATCCTTTGTTAGTCCCAGAAAAGTGTAGGTAAGAAAGGGATGTCTGGAGGGGGTTCTGCTCTGGCTTCCTGCTCACAGCAGAGCCAGCTTTACAGATAACACCAGTGTATATTGAGAATGTAACAGCAGCCATTGGGATCGTATCATAGTTTCCTGTGTGAGGGTGCACACATTAATTAGCCTGAGCAGAGCCCCTCACTGCCTCCAGTCTGTGGCAAGTGCCCACAGGACCTTGAACATCAGGCTGGAGGGAGATGATGGTGTATAACACAGTCAAATGGCAGGAAGGGCCCTGAGGAGCTCCTGGAAATGAGGTTTTGATAGCCAAAGCTTGCTAATTGCAGAGGGAATGAAGGAATGGTAAAACCCACAGATGTTGTTTAGTGGGGCGATCAGATGAAGACTGTTCACACAATGATCTAGAAAAAGATACTGAGCACTACCTGGGCCTGTCTCAGTCAGAGCTTCCATGCTTTCCTCATATTAAGCAAAAATTTACATATGGGTGCCATAATTTTAGACATTTGTTTTTAAGGAGCTCTGAATTTTTGCTGGGCCTATCCTTCCTGCAGACCACTGTATGTTCCTCAGCCTAACCATTACTACTGGCCAACTGAAAGCATATGCTCTTTATAGATAGGGAAGTGTCTGTGTTTTCTAAAGCTATGTGACAAAAAGTCATCATAGTAATGCTGAAATGCTCTCATCCTGAGGCTGGAGGTGCAAGAATTCCCTTTATAGTTCTGTGCTGCACCACTTGGATGCTGTTTTCTGACACAGGTGCATGAGGAAAACTATCTTGTCAAAGCAAATTTTTAGCATTCTCATTAGGGCACTGTAAAGAAAGAAATTTGCCATCATCAAGAAAAGGAAAAGGAGAGAGGTAAAGGACTAATATGGAAAATGAAGTTCAGCATTGTTTGGCTTTGGAGTACTTTATTATTTTCCTTCTAGGCAGGAAGTTACATGGAAGGGGGAACAAACTCGGCTCCTCTGATGGGAGAAACAGGGTGTTACAGTCTTGGCAGCCAAAATAAGCACAATAAATTAAAAGCTTGACCTTGAGATGCTGAACTGTCTAGAACTTCACTTAAAGTTGCAAAAATTCAGAACTTGAAAAACTTCTAACTCTGTTCATATAGGTGGTGGAGCATTCACTATTGCATTATTATCCCAGGCCTCCTTATGATTTTCTTCTCTTGAAGGCTGGTGTAGTAAATTGCATGTAGGTGTTTTCCTCCTTATGTGGATCCCTAAGAATTTGGCTAAAGGGATCAGATCAGCTGCATAATTAAGCATATTTTCTTACTGGTGCTGAGGTGTCTGTGAGCTTATTATATTAGAGAACTGAATGTTTGTACTTCAGTATGGTTATTAGGTTTGTTGGGGAAACACATTCCAAAGTCTGTCTCCCTTTGCACTTTTTGCTAGGTAGCATTAACATGCAGCTGCCTGGTTAAGTGTAATGTAAACTTTGAAGGTTACAGAGAACTTTAACGATCCATCAGGAGGTGCAAGAGGCACAGCATTTGGTGATCATGTGCAGGAGATGAAAATTCCTTGTTTCTGAAACTTTCAGAAAATTGGAGGAGAATATTTAGAGCTCACTGCAAAGAAGGAAGCTATGCATGCTGATGTTGCCAGCAATACAGTGATTCACCTAGCAGTATGCTTCATTGTTTCCATAGAAACTTGGGAAAAATGGAAAAGGATAACCAAGATTAAGGCAAAATCTTCAGAAAGAAAATAATTGTTTAACACATCATCACTCCCTTTTGCAACCTTTTTTTTTTCTTTTTTTTTTTTGTGCATGTCATCCTGTCTAGTATATCTGTATAGTTCTTCAGATTATTTTTATATAACAGAAATTCTTCACTGCTACCCTGAGCACCACTGCTTGTCAGTGTGGGGCAAGTATCCTGCTTAGGGGTGGGAGAAGAATCTGTGGAATTTTTCTGGTCTTTGGAGTAAAAAAAGAGGTTCTTGAATTATTTGAAATGTGTTTTTTTCCCCCTGTCTCTTTTACAGAAGTGAAAAATCAGAAAACTTCAGTTCCAGATGAAATAAACCAGCTTTTGGACCCAATTGTGTGTCCCAGCTGCTGGGGAAAGGGGAGCAGGAAAGCCCCCACCCCAGCTTCATGTAATTGCATTTTTAGCAGGAGCCACAAATCTATGTTTTAGAAGCATAAAGCCAAACCAGTTTGCATTTTGCAAAATATTTTTTCCCCAGTATATTGATATGCTTCGATAAATTCTGTTCAAATCAATTAGCAGTTTCTTGAAATTTTTTAATAATTACTTGTAAAAGTAACGATGACTTCTGTTTTCCACTGTATATGAGAGGGATCTGGAAAACACGAAATGACTCTTCTGTCAGCTGGTGGTTTAATTCTCTCCAGAAAGTGTGGATATAGGGATAGAACACCCAGGTCTGCCTCTCTGTGTTCTGGCTGCTCCCAGCCTCCCATTCCTGCTGCTCCTGCATTCCTTGGGACCACCTGCCCGGAGGGTGCTGCTGCTGAGCCAGGTTGTTATCACTGATGGGAAAATGACCTAGAGAAGCAGAAATTTTTCTCTTTTTGTGTCTGGCCACAGCAAGGTTACCTGTGTCTGTGTCTAGTGGCCACCGGGTGTCACTGTAGCTCTGTGCAATCACCGGCTGACGCTGAAATGAGCGTTGTGGAACAGGCAGGGTTTGAAAGATAATTTTATTCTGCATGTCCAGATTCCTAATCCATGTACACACACATCAAAAGCCCCATTCTGTTAAGTTCATAAGTCAGAATTTGGCATCCACGTTGTATCTGTAATGAAATCATCCTTCTGAATGGTTGCTGTGTTGGGACCAGTAAAGCTGTATATAGAAACACATATCCTTCCATTATCCCTGAAACACACAGTGAGGTTTGAGACCTGTGGCCAGGTGTGTGTATAGAGACCCTGCTCGACGTCCTCCCCATCTCAGCCAGATGGGGAACCTGCCTGGGACAGGCTGCAGGCCTGACATTGGTTATAGCTCCCCTATTTGGTCATCAGTCAGTATGAAAATGATAATGTTTAAAATAAAAGCTTACGAGAAAGCATTGAAGGTCAGAAAAACTTGTTATTGCCCCTGGTTCTTTGGTATATTTGTATTTATTGATGCAGAGAATAGTTTGGGTTGGAAGGGGCCTTTAAGGACCATCCTGTCCAACACCCCTGCCATAAGCAGGGTTATCTTCAACTGGATCAGGTTGTTCAGAGCCCTGTCCAGCCTGACCTTGAATGTTTCCAGGGATGGGCATCCACCTCTCTGAGGAACATGTTCCAGTCTTTCACCACCCTCATTGTAAAAACTCTTCCCTATATTTAGCCTAAATCAACCTCTCTTGGTTTAAAATTGTTAGCCCTTGCCCTACTGCAACAGTAGAAAGTCTGTCCCCATCTTTCTTATAATCCCCCTTTATGTTTTGGGAGGCTGCTATAAAGTCTCCTTGTAACCTACTCTTCAGGCTGAGCACAGCCTTACATTGCACCTGCTTACCCAAATCAAAGGTTTTATTCTTTTATTGGAATCAGATATATTATCCTTGCAACTTGATTATTTTTAATGCCAGCATTTCTTTTTCTGCATTTCTTTTCCCAGGTACATTAGCTGGAGTGATAGATTTAGCTGTGGATTGGATGACAGACCTGAAAGAGGGTGTCTGCCTGTCTGCCTTCTGGTACAGCCATGAGCAGTGCTGCTGGACGTCCAATGAAACCACATTTGATGACAGGGACAAATGTCCCCAGTGGCAGAAATGGTCTGAACTCCTTGTGAGCCAGTCTGAGGTATGGGAGGCCTGATTAGCCTGGGGTCGCAGCAGGCCAGGCAATGCTCTTTTTCATACTTGCTGATGTTCCCTCCAGAGAGTTTCTCTGAAAGACAAAGTAGTGAACTGAGCACACTGCAAAAAAAGACATTTCCACAAGCGCTATCTGCTTAACTCGAAGGAGGTCCTGTGGTTTCAGTGCAATGGAAAGTGAAAAACTGTGAGACTGCACTCTCTTTTTATCAGTATTAAGCTAAAAGTGTTTCATAACATGCATAGCATAATCACCAGGGGACCTGAGCTGCATTTTCTTTTTTCCTTTTAAACATAATTTTATGGAACAAAAAAAAAAAAAAAAAAGAAAAAAGATGAGCACTGAAAAATACATTTATGAGGATATTTTTGGGATTGCAGATGGGGTTTTATGTATTCTGATACAGGGAGCTGCATAAGAACTGCTTGTTTATCCCTTGCAATCAGTTTCTCTATGACACATCAGGAGACTTAGCAAGCACCAAAAACTGGGGAAAGATTGGGCTCCCTGGGGGTGGCCAGAGAGAAGAATTTGCAGGGGTGTAGGACAGGAAGAGAAAAAGCTGATCTGGACAGACATGAAACTTACATTTTAAGATTTTTTTTTTTCTTTTACACTTATTTTTTTCATAATTGTAATTTTAAATACAAAGAATGCTGTTTCAAAACAGTGCAGGTGAAAGTTTCATTTTGAAAACAATAAAAAGAAGCCTTTCTGTATACCATTTGGCAAATAATACTTGTAAAAAAATACAAAAAACACATTTAATTTTCAATCTAAGTTATTTAATGTATTGAATAATCTTGATACCTTCACAACTCAAATCTTTGGCAGAATTATTGTCTCAAATCCCCCCCTTTCTCCTTACTTCTGACTTGAATTTGACAAAAACTGAATGTGGTGTGCAGGTGGGTGATTTGGAGAGGTTGTCTCAGATCTTTCCCCACTGTGGAGGTTGTCTGGTCCTGCAGACAGTGTTTGAGGACATCATTGCCAGGCAAGTGTGTCATTCATGTTCCCTTCAGTGCTGCTTTAGGTTTACAGGACAAGAAGTACTGGGTGGGAGTGTCTGTGCGCATGTATAGCTCAATTTCCTGCAGCTCTAATTAGCCCTGGTGGAAGTGGTGGGCTGCTCACTGTCCCTGAGTGTTCTCACCACATCACCAGAGACAAAAATCTCTCAGCATAGTTGCCAGTCACAGTGCCAAGCTTCCCTCTGCCAAGGTTTGCTAGGGTCACCCTGGCCTCCATCCACAGATGTTTTGGGTGGCTGTGTCTTTGTGACAGTGAAGAAATATTACCCTGATATAAAGGTACAGGGTGGGGCTGATGTTGTAATTTAAGAGAGCAACAACAACCAACCAACAACAACAAACCCTAAAGAAAATAAACAGCTCCCACCAAACAAAAAAAAACCAAACCAACACCAAAATCAAAAAAATGCGGGAAGGGAGAAAAGAGGAAACTGTTAAAATTATTAGGGGATTTGGAAATCCTGTGCATGTGTTTAACATGCTGTTGGCTGGAATATAGGAAAGATGCATATCCTTAAGAAAATGTATTGCTTTCTCCTGCTTCTCGAAATCAGCTCTGTTGTGTGCTGTGGGCCTTTACAAAAGGTATCAGCCAGATGAGCGCTGTGAAACTTCACTCACTTTGTGTTCAAATTGGGCTTCTCACCCCCTGGTATACTGTCACAGTAAGACAAAAAAGAAAAGGTTCATCTTAACTTACTTGTAGTTACTTTCCTAGAACAAATGGGCCTCTAAGATCTGTGGGTTCCTGAGGGTCTGATGGAGGCTGTAAATATTATTAATATATCTGTCTGTTACTGTTATACTGAAATCCCAGGGAAAGCCCAATAAAAATGTGAATTTGGAAAGTAAAAATTCGGTTTTTTTCAAAAGGCTTATGATATAGGCAAGTTTTCTGCTGTATAGTTCCTGCAGAGGTAGAGGATTTTAGTAGGTATCAAAATACACTGAACTTGACTGAGTTTCAGAATAATTTTGCTGGGTTTTTTTCCTGTGTTTCACTTTGTGCCTGACATTTCCATAAGAGCCCTATAAAACAACAGTGTGCATTGGAGCACAATTTAGGCAAAAAGTATTTGGAACAGTTTCCCTAAAGGTACTCTGGTCAGACATGCCTTCCTTTTTTTATGCATGACTGTGATTCTTTCTTGTCATAGCCAACTACATTTGACATTTTGAGGACTGAGATTTAGATAGTTCTTCCTTGTGGTTTTGACAATTTATGGCTGTGATAAACCCTGTACATACGTTTTCATGGAGAATTGTGACATTTCCTATGGCATCTCTTGAAAAATGTTTCCATTCTAGTGCTCCTATAAAATGAGCCCAAAGCAGAGGCTTGATATAAATTGTTATGGAAAACATAATAGCCCTTTAGACACCTACCAAGCTATGTTTTCATCCCTAATCATGATTTTGTAGGCCAATTATCCTTCACCCTTCTGGTCTTGAACTACTTCCAAAGAGGGGGTGAAGAGAGTTTTTTGGTGCGAGAACATTTCAAAACCTCAAATTCACTGGCAGATCAAAAGGTCATCAGACACCACTGGTGAGCTGGACTTTCCCTGTTCTGCAGATTCAGTTTGGTCCCAACACCAGCTTCACTGGAGCTGAGGATCCCATTTTTGATGGCTTACACATATCCAGGGCAGAGGAAAGGACCCTGTGTCTTCTATGGATCATGACACTGGATCCAGCAATTGACTGAATTCCTATCCCAGGGCTTCTGGATCTCCTGTCATGAAGCTGAGACCTGCAGGGCAAGGAAGCCCCTCTAAACCTGGAACCCACTTCCCAATTTTGCAGCCTTGAACCATCAGTTTTGAGGACACACGCTGCTGTAACACACATAGGAGAGAGTCTGCAAACTGTGAGATCCCTATCGAGTCAGAGTTGAGCTCTGGGCCTCTGGAGTAACCATACATTGGAGAGCATCCTGAGGGATGTGGTTTATTTCCGTGTTCTGAGTTTGTGAGGGTTGTTTTCAATTGTGTTCCATTTGTATCTAAACTGGACTGACACCAGAGCTGAAATATTGCTTGGTCTTGCAAACTAAAATACAAAATTTTGCTCAGTTTTCCTTCTTGCTTCATTACTGTTGCTTCTGGGGTGAATCTTTTGAGCTGTCGTGGGAAAGGTCATAGCAGGATCAGCTCTGCTGGTGATCTGCTTCAGTCTCTGATTCCAGTGTACATGCTCAAGACTTTCACTGATTCACAGCTTTAGTAATGGCATGTAATGGATGAGAAACGAACCATTTGCTATACTGAGTTATTGCTACTTCACTTCCCAAAGGTTTTCATATTATTAATCATTAGAAGCTGCTGCAGTTGAACCTGCAGAATGCCAGATATCTGGAAAATGTAACAATGAAAGATGTCCCAAGGGATAAGATTGAACTGACCATATGGACTCTTGTGGGGTCCTGCCACAGCACTCTAGGTGTATGTGTGACTGCAGTAATGAGCTGACAGAGTTTTCTTATGACTTCTGAGATGCAAAAGAAGAAGATGTAAAAAGAAACAAAGTTAATTTTCCTCCAGTGAATTTAGAAGAAAAACTACAGCTTTTGCTCAACCTAGTAGGGCCAAATTTTTGTAATGGTGTTGGCCTTCTTTGGAGGTATTCCAGGTTCACACTGACAGGAGGATTATGCCCTGAGGCAAGATATCCAGAGTTTTCTCTAGAGGAAGAGTAAATATTGTCATAGCTGTTTGCAATTGAAAGCACTAGGAGAAGACATCCTTGAGACTGTCTTCAGCTGTAGCAACAAAGATCCCTGGTTACTGCAGCCGGATGTCAGTCACTGCAAGTGTGGGATCCATGACTGCTGTCTCAGGGCATTGAGGGATAACATTGTATGGCTTCAGCTTCCTGCTATCATCAGCAAAGCCAGCTGCTAACTTCAGCAAGCACCAGCTTAACAAATTGCCCTTCCTCCAGGTATATCCATAAGGAAAAAGGTTAGTAGTATCCTTACTGCATTTTCATTTGGACAGACCTGGAAAATGAAGCTAGCAAAAATCCATGCTGTTAAGAGTTGATTCCTTGAAGATTTGAAAATGGGGAGACTTCTCATCTCTACATTATTTTATTACTGGGAACAGGGCTTGGCCAGCTTTGTTAACTGATACAATTGATTAATGCCTGTTTTCCTACTTGATTTATCATAATGTTGATATCCAGGCTGCTGTCCTGCAGAGCAGAGGCAGGGCCCCTGATGTTCTTGAGCAGCTGGGATTGCATCCGGTAGGAAGAGTTCACTTGGAGGTGAAGGATTCATACCAATGCATGCACTGAGATTCATCTCAGTTTTTTATTCTGTAGTGTCATGTTGCTACAGGATATTGTTTGAAGGCTTAAGCTCCTTGTATTGATTTGATGCTGCTGAGTAGATTCTCTTTTGTCCATGTAGGTGAGTTTTTGAAATTAATCTAAAAAAAAATGCATATGAAGAGGCAGAGGTATTCCAAGGCAGATTTTAACAAAAGTTTTGACTTGACCACTGGAAAAAGGTAAAAACTTGAAGGTCACTATTAACTGTGCTTTCACTATGGCACTGCACAGTCAACCATTGCTAATAATCATTTGTGTTCCCATTCTGCTAGAAAAGTAAAACTGTTCAGTTTGAAGATAGACTTATTACTGACTGGAATGATTTTAAAATATTAGGGCAAAAATTACTGAGATGTGTGAGTGGGTTCTGCCAATCTATGTTATTTTCAAATTATTTTCAACCCTATCATGGAGAGCACTGTATAGAAAGAAAGGATTTATTTATGGTTTTACCCTTCCTGTTTGTGAACTGAACTAGCTACTGATATACACAGGGATGTTGTTTGAAAAGAGCAGCATCTGCATGGAGAACTTGAATACCATCCCTCAGAAAAATACATATTAGTCTCATTCCTTGTCCCCCACCATGGGATGAACACAGCAGATTCCTTCATTAGGTGCCTTTTCATTCCCTATTCCTTTGGCCCTTATGACATATTTGTTTGATGTTGTGGAACTTTACACGGGTTAGTTAGATTTTTTTAGTACTTGAAAGGTGCTCAGTTTAAGGTATTTGGGTCCCTCGCAAACAGATTGTAAGGACTGGGTTAGGTATTTATTAGTTTGCTGCTTCTTTCCACAAGTAATGAAGTTGTTGGGAGTATATAGTTATTTGTCTTTCCTGAGGAAAAGCAGCACTTACCATGTAAATGAAAAATCAGGCTCCATGCCATCATGATCCCTAGTAGAAGTGTGAGATTTGCCAATCTGCGCTTGTCTAACAATGTTTGTTACTGTTATTTTTCTAGGGTGCAAGTGCTTACATTCTAAACTATTTTCTGTACATTATGTGGGCTCTGTGTTTTGCTTTCCTGGCAGTCTCCCTGGTCAGAGTGTTTGCTCCTTATGCCTGTGGCTCTGGAATCCCAGAGGTGAGTTTCTTTTTGTACATGAATATCCAAAAAAAGCCAAGCAACAACAGTAACAAAAAAATTACTTCATTTTTGCATTCCAGAACTGTACTATGAGATAGCATAGCAACAAGGAAATTGTCTTTCCATCTCATCTGCCTTCATTCCTTTTCTCATGTTTTTATGGTGATCATCTAGGTTTTTCATAGTAAAAAGTGTTCATATGTCCCTGTGACAGATTAATGCATGCACTTGTTCATTGCCAATGTGTGAATTAAAAATCAACATCTGCAAGAGACATACTCACTGGAAGATTATAGAGAATTTTTCCAGGATGAAATTATCTGGGCTAGTTACAAAACCATTTATTTTCTAGGCTAGACTCTAAATTAAAACAAAATAAAGAGAAGAGGGAGTGCTACAAAGCTAAGGTTCCCTAAACTGCTGAAGATGCCCTCATTTGGGATGCCTGAAAAGTGGCTGGTGCACATCTTTTGCAAATAGTGTTCCTGAAGACAGAGTAATGTGAATTGTGCCACCATGACAACATTATAGCAGCCAAAATATCTACTTGATTTTTAATATTTTACATATTGAGCCTCAGTCCATATTTAAGCTGTTAAATGAAGAACCTTGTAATTCAACCAGCAGAATTATTAAAAGTCTTTGAAATCAGGACACTCTCTTGTTAAAAGTGCAATGGAACTACTGGAATTATTATTTAGGAATCTGGCAGACAGAATCAACAGCCCAAAACTTAGAAATCTTTGCATACTTTTGTTCTTGATCTCTAAGAGAAGCATCCAAATGCTTCCAAAAAACTCACCACAAATCATTTAAAATATTTGAATAATTTCCATGTTTCAAAGTAGTCATGTGTGCCTTTGTTATGTGTTTGATATATTTATGGTTTTAAAAAGTTTTCATAGTTAAGTATAAAGCCAGTTTCCAAGTGGTAAATCCCTTGTGCGAGGTGATGCTCAGCTCCAGCCCATTTCCAGACCTAGAATCCAAACCCAAATCCCACCCTGCTGCCTTTGTGTCATGCACATGCATTGTGCTCTTTCTGAGCCACTCACTAGCAGAATTAAGACAAAATGTGTAGAAATACGATCTTTTGGACTTTCTCATTTCATAATGCATAGCATAATGCATGCTTTTATGGCACAGTGATTCCAAATATCTAGAACTTTTTTTGTGTGTTTTATCTGGGTAAAGTCTGTTGTTGTTTATTTGCTTTTTTTCTGCTTTGTTAAAGTCAAATCCAGTTTAACTCTGATCTTGTAAGCCAAAGAAATACGTAAGAGTTTCATATTTCTATTGATCTCTGTGAGAGTCCTTACTGCCTGTTATGGGGACCACCCGTAACAGCAGTAAAAGTGTGGTCTGCTTAACCCCTGCTCAGATATTGCTGTGGGAAAGCTGCCCTACCTGCAGTTTCTTTCTCTCCATCACTGTCTCTTTTCAAGCAGTCTGCAACCTTTTAAACCCTGCTGGAGTTTTAACACCATTTGAAAGTTCAGAGTAGAAAAGGGTTCTTCATCTTTTCAACGTGTTCTTCCTGCTTTCCAGATAAAAACCATCTTGAGTGGGTTCATTATTAGGGGCTATCTGGGAAAATGGACACTTCTAATCAAAACAGTCACCTTGGTTCTGGTGGTGTCTTCAGGCCTCAGCCTTGGGAAAGAAGGCCCATTAGTCCATGTGGCCTGTTGCTGTGGAAACTTCTTCAGCAGCCTTTTCTCTAAGTACAGCAAGAATGAAGGAAAGAGAAGAGAGGTGAGGTTGGCTCATAAATTTCTAATTTCCCTGTCTGCAGGGTCGGGGTTTCAAACAACTCATGCCTTGTATGTAAACATTTTCTTTGTAGGTACTTTCAGCTGCAGCTGCTGCAGGAGTTTCTGTTGCTTTTGGGGCTCCAATTGGAGGTGTGCTTTTTAGTCTGGAAGAGGTGAGACCTGGCAGTTCACTTGGTTCAATAAATATAATTTAATGTGATACCTTTCTCCAAGATTACTCATTATTTTTCAAATACGTATATGCTTATTTTTTCTTCTATAACAAAAACAATCTATGGTTTCCAGTAATGAGAAATAACCAGATATTTTAGCATAATCTGAGTAGCAGAAGGGCACTGGCTTCCTGGAAACAAATTAGATGATTCAGTATGGTAATATATCCCTCCGCTGAGGTTTCTCCAGCCTTCAGTTTGCTAATTCGTGGACCAAGCTGTCAAGCATTTCTTATACTCTCTAGACAGCAACTCTGGATTCAAATTTATCAATTTTAAAGCAGTAGCTACTCCTCTGAAATCTGAAAATGCCTTTTCTGATATACCTCTGTGAGCATGTTCTGGCTGTGGTAAGGTCTAGTGCTTGCAGTAAAGTCAAATGAAACAGATGGTGGTGGTAAAGGAAGCACCCTCTGTCACACTCAGTGAAATGTTTATGGTCTTTCCTTGGTTTTAGGTCAGCTACTACTTTCCTCTGAAAACCCTCTGGAGGTCATTTTTTGCTGCTCTGGTGGCTGCCTTCACACTGAGGTCCATCAATCCTTTTGGAAACAGCCGACTAGTCCTGTTCTACGTGGAGTACCACACGCCCTGGTACATGGCCGAGCTCTTCCCCTTCATCCTGCTCGGCGTCTTTGGGGGCCTCTGGGGGACCCTCTTTATCCGATGCAACATCGCCTGGTGCAGGAGGCGAAAAACCACCAGGCTTGGGAAATACCCAGTGCTGGAGGTCATTGTGATAACAGCTATCACTGCCATCATCGCCTACCCCAACCCCTACACCCGCAGGAGCACCAGCGAGCTCATCTCCGAGCTCTTCAATGACTGTGGTGCCCTGGAGTCCTCGCAGCTCTGCGACTACATCAACGACCCAAACATGACCCGGCCAGTGGATGACATTCCCGACAGACCTGCTGGCCCTGGAGTCTACTCTGCCATGTGGCAGCTCGCCTTGGCTTTGGTGTTCAAAATCGTCATCACGATATTCACTTTTGGCATGAAGGTAAATCGGGGTAAATTGGGACGGGAGCTGTCGTGAGCACGGGGCTCAGAGGGGCTGCCATGGGCAGCTCTGCTCTGGCTCTGACCTGCCCCAGTCACGGCACTGCCCCAGCACTGAGGTGCTGCTGGCTCACCTGCCTGCCAGCACCTTGCCCTGTGGGCCCCTGTGGCAGCACAGGGATGGGCCCTGCTTTTCCACCTTCTAGGCATCTGCGGTTTTGTTAAGCGAAAAAGAAATCTGTATGGGAATTTAAACCCGCTGTTGCCAGTAAGCAATTTTGAGATGATTCCCACTGCATCTGTTTTTCAGCTCTCTCTCATGGATATGGGCTATTTACACTGTTGTTTGTCTTGTTGCATTAATGTCTTAATGTGCCTCAAGGTAGCTATGCTCAAGGAAGTAATAATTTTAAATTTACTATTTTACACATTTAGAGCATCACACAAATATAAAAGTGGCTGAAAAAGTCTATTTTTGAATCTTTTTAAACACTGTAGCTTGTTAAGAAAAAGAGGAATGAATGAGAAGACCAACTGATGTGTCATTTGAATATTCTGGATTTGTAGCATTTTCCTTCAACAGCTCCTTCTCCCCATAAATGAGTGATGAAAGGTCCAAGAACAATTTATCCAAGTTTTCAATATAAAACAAGCTGTTTGTGGTGAGCTCTATATATCTGATTAACAGAGCACATAAAAAACAGGTTCTGTCTGTCTGCAGCTCCCATTATGAGAGCATTTATTTCTGGATCTGATGGCTGCAGACAGTGAGAAGTTTTTCTTAGTTATACACTGTATTTTATACCATGCTCAAAACTAAGGTATATCAACTTTCTCTTAAATACTACACTTGAATGGAGGTTCTATTTTTAGCCTTTCACTCTAGAAACTGATTTATGGCTGACAGCCCATTGTTATGCTTGTTCATTAAAAACTTTGGTTCTATATTTGAAATGGGATTCTTTATTTATCCTATATATTTAAAATTTCTTAGAAGAAACTGGCACTTTCTACCAGTCTGTAAAAGAACAGACCCACTAAATCTAGAAGAGTCAATCCAACTTCATGAGCAAAGTTAGCACAGTATGGTGGGAGCTGTTAGCATCTGCTGTTACCAGCCCTACATGGCTGGTAACCTTTAGGCTGTGCTGATGAGGTGATTAGTTAAGTTCTCTAGGAAGCTCAAGGTATATTTTCAGACTTTAAAAGATATAATAGGCTTTCCTCTCTGAAAACAACAAAAGCCCCATGCAATCCCTTGTCACAGATCTGAATTGTCTTCTCCAGCAGGAAATATATCTCCCACTTGCTGGTACACTTGACATCTAAGAGGAAATGCACTTAGCCAAGGCAAAGTAAATCTTCATTCTCTTTTATTCCCCTCCCTTCCCATTTAAATACTCTTTTTCTTAGTGAATTGTGGCTTGTTTGTATAGCAGACAACAAAGTAACGATTCACAAAGCTTCCTGGAAAATATATTGTAAACTAAGATGGAGAATTAGTTGCCTCTGAGCAGTCAGTCCCCTTTCTCTGAGTTTCTATTCTTCATATGACATTTAATTTAAAATCTGGTCTGATTTAGCCTGAAAAAGTAGTAATAAAATCATAAAGTGCTCCATCTGATAGAGGGTGAAATCAAGATGTTATTTTCTGTTAAGCTTATTCTCAAGCCTATGACAGAAACAGCAGCTCCTGACTTCCTGCTGAGAAAGCAATAAAGGCAAAGCCAGTAACATCTTGACTTCAAAAGCAACCTATTATTCAGAAACAGCATATATCTCCCTAATTCAGTGGGGTGCAGCAGATAGGATTAAAAATTTCTTCAAAAAATGCACTAACATTTTTAAGCTATTAATACACATGTAGCCACATGAACTCAGTGACTGCAGAAAACTGTGTCAGAGCATGGGGATCAGCCCTGTGGGCTGCCATGAGGCTATGGAAACTTGGTTCTCTTACTGTTAATTAAAGTTGTTTGATACTGATCATTTTTGTCAAGATGCTTATGTGTCTATATTTTATTCCAGATCCCTTCAGGCCTTTTTATTCCTAGCATGGCTGTTGGAGCCATGGCTGGCAGGATGGTTGGGATTGGAGTGGAGCAGCTGGCATATCACCATCATGACTGGATCATCTTCAGGAACTGGTGCAGACCTGGGGCAGACTGTGTCACACCAGGACTCTATGCTATGGTGGGAGCAGCAGCTTGCTTGGGTATGGTCTCCGCTGGTTATTGGTTCATGTGTGACCAACACTGATGTTTGGGGACATGCTTCAGAGGGCCCTGTGTTTGTGTTAGCTGCTGTGTTGGCATTTCTGGGTGCAACAGAGGTTGAAATAAAGATGTGATGGGCTGAAGAATGGGGAGCTTCCTCTACTTCCTTGTTCTTCCAGTGATCTACCAGATAGCCAGCAACAGAAAGGCTTGCAGTCATCAATGTCTACTCCCTGTAATCTGCCAAAAAGCAGAGTAAAGGAAAGAAAAAATTGAAGTTAGGCTGCAGGTTTCCAAGCAGGAGTACTTTTGCTTGCATTTTTTCCATTTGATGTAATGAAATTCACTGTAACTGGACTAAAGTACTTACTTGTTTAGACTGTGCTCTCAGTGCAGGAAGAAAACATCCCTTTTTTGTTAAATTTTAAACTACACAGAGGCAAAAATTCTGGGTCTTTGGCTGTGTCTCATGCTATGGTCAACTGAGCTGTATTTTGGTTTTTTATTTTGATCATAGGCCAATATTGGATTACACTCAATCAATAGGATTTATTGGATATTACAGCAATGATCTGTTAACTCTTAAAGCAAGATCATTGAATAATACCTCACATATCAAATTTCTAGCCATAGATGCAACAAGAACGTTACAAGCATCTGAGCATGTTTTTACCTGATCATATTTTTCCCCTTGTGTGCTTGCATATTCTATCTCCTTTTGTTGCTGTTATTGATGCCATCATCAGCAGATGAAAAAATAGTGGAGAGGCATAACACATGATTAATGTGATTGGGTAGGTTTGAAATGAAAGATGTACTCAAGGAAGAGCTGGAGAAGTTTCAGATTTGGATGCTCATATTGGAAAAGCAGGATCATTTGTGTGATCAATATAGAGGAAGGAAAGGTGGGGTTTGCCTGAAATTTTAATGTCTGTAATGTAGATTACACCTGAGTTTAGCTGTCTTTATACCCCTCGCAGTCAAAACAGAAGAATAAGGTATGGGAAAGTTCAATTCTTATCTGGCAACACACATCTAAAACCAGGCAAATGAACAGCTGAATTTGGCCTCAAAAGAGCCTGATTTCATCTAGAGGTTATAAAGATATAAGAGATTATAAAGATATAATCTGGATCATCCCTGTGGATGTAAACACCCACAGCAGTGTCGACACATCAAAAAAACCCGGGATGAATCTTACTGTCCAAACAAGTAAAACACTTTCTCTCTTCGATAAATGATCTTAATGCTCATTAAATAAATAGTGCACAAAAATTTGGCTCTGATGTTGCAGTTGATCTGCTAGTCAGCAAAGAATTATAGAAACATAGAATATGCTGAGTTGGAAGGGACCCATCAGGAACATCAAGCTCAAATCCTGTCCATGCACAGAACACCCCAAAAAATCACACCATGGCCCTGAGAAATTGTCCAAATACCTCTTGAACTCTCTCAGGCTTGGTGCTTTGACCATTCCCTAGGGAGCCTGTTCCAGTGCACAACCACCCTCTAGGTGAAAAGCCTTTTCTTGATATCCAGCCTAAACCTCTCTGACTCTGCTTCATGCCATTTCCTCAAGTCCTGTCACTGGTCACCAGAGTGAAGAGATCAGTGTCTGCCCCTCTGCTTCCCCTTGTGGGAATGTTGTAGACCAGAATGAGGTCTCCCCTCAGTCCCCTCCTGGTTGAACAGACTAAGTGACCTCAGCCACTCCACAAAAGGCTTCCCCTTCTGACACTTCATCATCCTTGTGGCCTTCCTTTGGATGGTTTCTGATAGCTTAATGTCTTTTTTTATATTGTGATGCCTAAAACTGCACACAGGACTCAAGGTGAGGTTGCAATTGCTTCCTCTTTTAAAAGGTCCAAATTAAGGTGCAGTGGGTTTTAGAAGTATGGTGAGACATACAGTAGAATGGTCACAGCTTGTACTTAAGCTGTTCTGTACCAAAACCTATCTTCCCTAAAGTAAGAGATACGGAGTAAATATGAAATTATCCTTAGTCTGGTATTTGCTCTCAGCTTTTCACAGTCAGAAGTTTAAGGCATTCCTCAGATGAAATTTGTATCTGGATCATAGTGTCAAGCAATCAACAATCTAATATTTCTGTATGCTGCTAGATAAAAAGCATCTTTTAATGATCTGTTTCTGATTTTTCTCATCTAAAATGGGGCTGTATTTTGAGACCTAAAAATAGCAGATTTATTACATTTCCCTTTTGAATAGAGGCAAAGAAATGTTACCTAATAATTCAGAGATACATACACACTTGTCCTCAGTTATGTGATTATTTTTATCCTTTAATGTAAACTGAAGGAGCCAGGAGCTTGCTTATGAAATTAATATGGAAAGACTAGATTGAAAAATACAGCTACAACCCTGCCTGTGGCTGCATGCCTGGATGGCCTCAAACCAAATTGTACTCAGTTCAAACTGTATTACTGTAGTGATATCCAAAGCTGTAACATAGCTCTCTCTTGCAGTGGCCCTAAGCTGTTCTAGGCTAGGAGGATTTTGTAACCATGTTGTGCCCAAAGATAATGCTCAGCTTTCTCCTCAGTATGACAGTAATAGATAGGCTGGTGTAAAGGCTGCCTCTTCACGTTCCGACCTGCCTCAGCTGTGGCACTTAACTGACTCTTGGAGTCATTTTAGGGGGCTAATGGCAGGGTTCAATTTTACTTTCTCAAGTATCCATTAAAGCTGATTTTTTTTTTTTTTTGCATCCTTTCTGGTTTTAAAGCTCTGTCTTTTAGCATTCATTATTTGCTTTTCAATGCTAGCAACTTCGGCATGAGCAAGTTCACTCAACCTTTTTGATGAAAATTGCAGTAAATGAAAAATACCTTTCTTCAGAGAAACAAGCCTAAGAGTATAAGGGCAAAGTACACAGCATAAATAATTACATGCATTTTTGAGTGTAAGGCCCAAAAATATAAATTAGTTGCTTAGTATGTATACCAGCACTGGGAGAAACCTGAGTCTTTTCCTTGTTGGCAGGTGGTGTTACTCGAATGACGGTCTCTCTGGTGGTGATTATGTTTGAGCTAACTGGAGGCCTGGAGTACATTGTACCTCTTATGGCTGCAGCTGTCACAAGCAAGTGGGTGGCAGATGCCTTTGGAAAAGAAGGGATCTATGAAGCTCACATTCATCTGAATGGCTATCCCTTCCTGGATGTGAAGGATGAGTTCACCCACCGAACCCTGGCGACTGACGTGATGAGACCAAGGCGCGGCGAGGCTCCTCTCTCTGTGCTGACACAGGACAGCATGACAGTGGAGGATGTGGAGACACTTATCAAAGAGACTGACTACAATGGCTTTCCAGTGGTGGTTTCAAAGGACTCAGAGAGACTTATTGGATTTGCACAGAGACGAGAGCTGATCCTTGCAATAAGTAAGTAGAGTATCAATGTCCAGAAGTTTGATTTTGAATGGAGTTTTTACAAGATGGGAGGTTAGTAGCGTTAGTTGTCTTGAAGAATGGATAATCAAGAACCAAATCTAACTTTTTTTTCAAATCTGACTTCTGCTGGTTAGTAGGACCTGGAAGCTTTTCTATTGCATAATACCTGATTTTGTGGGCTTGACCCTTGTGGGCTTAATTTTGCTGTCACTCAAAAGAGTAAAATAAAATTATTCTAGAGACAGCAGACAGAAAATCAACTCATATGGCCAGAATTTTTGTCAGAACCGGACCAAAAGCCAGTGCAGGGCTCAGTTTCTTTCCCTCTCCATGGACTTCCAGAGGCAGCTGGGGCAGTCATGAACTTTGGTCACCCAGTGATGAAATAGCCTGTACTCCTTTCTGTTGCTTTGTCTCAGTTTTTCCTCACATGCAGGCTTTTAGTGCTCCAGGTGGAAAGTTTTCAGTGCACAATGTTTTTTTTGGTAAAGATAGGTGAATTTTGTCTGGCATCCAGTGGCTATCTGGCTGGTTGCCTGAGAGTCTGAATCCAGGTCATTAAAGGTTTTGACTGTCACTTCCTTTCCTGGTTGATTTGATGATTAAGTGGGGATTGAAGAGCAAGTATATTGGATGAATGCAAGTGTTCCCACCTCTTCTGGACCCAGGGCATCCAGAACTGCAGAGGTCTGCAAGGCTGGTCCACCATCTGCTCCCAGTTGTGGCAGCCCTGTGGTGTTGAGGGCCAGCTGGGCAGGCAGGCAAGATGCCACCTGGGCATGGTTGCCTTGTACTTTGCAGGGGAGAGGAATGTCTGCTATATCCAAATCTCCTTGACTTGTAATTAGTATTCTCTGCATGGTCTTGTTTCATCCCTGCTGCTCAGGCACCTTTAAAAAGCTGTTGTCTCTGATGGAAATTCACATATTTTTCAGACAAGAAAATTAATAAATGGAAAATTTGGGTTATTTTTAAAGGTCCCTTTCCAGCTCACTTCCCACAAAGCTAAAACAAATATTGAAATAACAGTGGTCTTTAAAGCACTTTTTAGATGTATTTAGCCTACCCTGGGTCTGTCTTTTATACTGCCTGTGCCATGTCATGGCTTTAACACTTGGTGCCTTCCTAAGTTAATAGTCTTTTGCACCTCCTTTTCAGGAAGGTATGTCAGTGGGAAAATTGCAGGGACTGAAGATGCAGAGCCCTCACTTTAAAATCAGAAAGATCAGACACTGCTTGAAGTGAGTCAAAGAACTTTGAGGAGCTGAGTCTTTTGATTCAGGTTATAAATGGCAGTGTGTCTGAATGGTCTTGCCAGAAGATGTGAGAAAGTGTCCAGCTATGAACTGACAACAAAGAGATCAGATAAAATTAATCTCAGTAAACATTTAGATCAAAATGCTTTCCTGTTCAAAAATTGTTTGGCATCTGCATTTTTCAGAGGAAAAGGTACAGTCTCCTGACCAGTTCTAATTAAGAGCATCTTTCATAAGAAATGAGACAGATTTAAAATCAAATTGGTATTTACATAGATAAATTTTTCTAAAATCATCAGCCACCAGTGACCTTCGGTAACCCTTTTCCCCTTGGGGCCGAGTGTGAGTGCTGTCATTCTGTGCTGACACTATGATAAATGGTTAATCTTTCCAGTATGGTTTGTGTCCTTGTGACTTAAAATCTGGATTTGGTTTCTAAAGACACAGTATATGGTTCCATTACAGGTCAGGGTAAACCATGCTAGCAACCTGTTGATTACTAATACTCTTTGAAGCTGCTTTGTCTGAATTTCAGAACTTGTTACTGCTGATCATTACCACAAGGGTAACTAATGTGTTCTGAAACTCCACCTCAGCTTGCTTCATGGTTGTGATCATGGAGCCACGCACCGAGTGTCCTTAAGCCATAAAATTCCTTACCAAGAGAGAAATATCACACATGGTGAAGGATCTCTTGTTCACCTGTTCATGTTCACCTGCTCAGCCTGACAGAGGTACTGGAGTTACATCTCAGAACAGCTTAAGCCCCATCTGTGCAGAACTTCAGCCAGGGAATGAGGTCTTAAGGAAAACAGTCAGGCCCACTCCAGTATCTCTTCTTTCACCAGTATCTCTTTTTTCATGGCATTGTGCCCTGCAGAATGCCTCCTCAGTTTGAACTAGCTCTGGTACCTCTGTATTAAAACACTTTGCACTTTTATAGAGACATGGTTTCAACCAAGAATTTCAGCTTCTTTCTCAGGCCCAGTTAGTTGTGCATAGTAGTATGGTGGTCTAGAGATTGCTCTGTTGAAGTACTCCAATTCCTTCACATATCTGCCTTCTTGGATGAAGGCAATAGCTGCTGAGTCTTGCATCAAATACCCGTTCCCACAAAGCTATCTGCCTCATGATTTACCCCCACATAATTTCATACTGAGTCGAGCATGCTCTATAAATGCATCAAATACCTGTAAAGTGAATGGCAATGCCATTTCCAATTGCTCAGCAGCAGCTTCAGGAGGATTGTGTCCTTCCATTGATCCTTGTTGAGTAGGTAGGCAGGTGAGGTGGCAGAGTCACCCTCTGGGAAGAGGTGTCTACATTTTAGATGACACCTACTTTACAGACTTACAGAGTGGAGTTTTTGACACTGTAAAGCTTTTCTTAATTTGGCCAGCTCCAGAGGCACCATGCAAAAGGCAGAGCCTTGGACAAAAGCCAGGTGGCCTGTATAATATGCTTTTCCCAGTGTGGAGTTGAGAGATCAACATAGTTGATATAGGCTGTGAAATGTGAACCCCTGAATATGAGAGGCTGGTTCACATTTGGGAGAATTAATTCACTCTCTAGCTATGACAAGAGCCTTCTGCATAGATTGCTTTTTAAAACCAGACATTGTCATCCATTTGCTTTGCTCTTTCTGTTAATCTGTGTCTGTTTTTCTTACCCACTGACTGCAAAAATTATCTGCTCTTCTGTTTTACCTTTACTCCCACTTTCTCATCCAGTGAGACTGCACACAAAATCCACTATTTTTCTGATGCTGCTGAATTTACTCTGTAGTACTACATCATTCAAATTTCTCTAGAGAGGTTTTTGACATGGAAGAGTGAAATCATGGCTTTGGCTAATCACTGTTGTTCAGGGTCACTGCTGCTTTGGGAATAGCAATGTGGTAACCAAAATGCTAGGCCCTGCTAGGTGCAGTTTTGGGAAGGAAATACCTAGCTGTCAAAGGTTTTTATCAAAGGGTGGGAGTTACCTTTGGTTTGATTAATGTTACCTCTTAGCACAGATCATATATCAAAGAACTATGCAGGCATCTTCACACTTGAAATTGGATGTATGAATAGAAACAAGCTGATACAAAACTAACATAATTCCTGTAAATTGCAATAGGGCTTGTAATGTGTGGGGTGAGAAGGTTGAGAATCGTATACTGTAGTGATATTAGGTTTGAGCCAGCACTGCTCCAGTTCCAGAAATATTACAAGACAACGATCATTAAATGTAAAAAAAAAATTGCAGCTGAAACATGTTGGAAACCATCACTGTCTACAGATTACAAGTCACAGCAGCAGGTTTCTCACTCTGATTGATGGCAGAGAGTTCCAAGAATACTTACATGTGCTTGGAGTATGAGTTGCTACACCTCTCAAGAGCAGAAACAACCTATGTTAATTGAAAGTAATAATTTAACTATTTCCAAGAATTTATTTTTTAAAAAAAAAGTTAAACCCTCAGAGCCAAACACATGATATGCTTATTCTGGGGAGACAAATGTTGACTGTCATAATTTGGAAATCTGTGTTTTATAATGTTTATACCCTGTAGTGATGGGTAGAGATTAGGTAAACACTAGAAAGAAAATTAAGTACTCCAATGTTAAGTCTTGGGGCATGCTTTAGGTAAAAGGCTAAAACTGATCATACAAACTCCAGATGAAGTGTGATGTTCACTTTGTAGTTTGATCAAAGTATTAATGATAGCTTTTGAACTTCTGAAAGTGGTCATATATGTGTTGTTTACCCCTATATTTTTCCTCTCTTTACTATTTTCCTTTAAGTAGGAAGCTAATTTCTTTTTCCTTTTTAAAATCTAGATACACAAACAATTTAAGGCATTAAGTGTAAACCCACAAAATTTACCCTGCCTGCCAGCAAGGTGTTCTGATCTAGAACAACACCCACACCACCCCTGGTTCCCTGGAATGTGAATTTGTCTTTCCCCAGCTTTGTGTTCAGAAATCCATTCTCTGTGTCCACATTTTCCCAACTCCACTGAAAAGTTTTGCTCCAAACCAGCTGGGATCTTACACAGCTGTTGACTCCACTCCTTCAGGCATGTAATAAAGTTTCTGTTGTGATTCTCACAATGGAGGAAATTACATACAGTGATTTGAATTGGCCAGAAATTGGATTAGTGAAGTTTATGAATGCAATGAGCTGCATATTTATTCAGAAAAGCATTTTCCCAACCAAGGAAAAGTATGGGCGTATAAAAATATCACATTTGCTTTGAGGGAGCAGTGTCTTAAGGAAATTTAAGATTACTCAGTAACCCAAGTTTCTGGGATTCCAATACGTTAAAGACACAATCAAACCTTGCTTTCCAAAGGAGGAATTATTTTTTTATTATCAAGCTTAATTCACTATCTACCCCAATTTTTGTGTTGTACAGAGAATGCAAGACAGCGTCAGGATGGGGTGGTGAGCAACTCCATCGTGTACTTCACTGAAGACCCCCCAGAACTGCCACCCAACAGTCCCCACCCACTGAAACTGCGGCGTATTCTCAACCTGAGCCCTTTCACTGTCACTGACCACACACCAATGGAAACTGTGGTAGATATCTTCCGAAAACTTGGGCTCCGGCAGTGTCTGGTGACTCGCAGTGGGTGAGTAGTTGACACTCAAATTAGTATTTTAATTTTGTCTTATTTTGTGAATGGATGAATAAGGGAACCTCGCCCATGTCTGTCCAGGGCAGCAAAAGAAGTCAGACTGTGAACCAAAATGGTGCTTGCAAGGTGTTACATTTCATTCTGTTCTCCTAAATTCTTAGTGTATTCTCATAGGGTAAAAATACATACTCATAAGGTAAAAATATGTACTCATAAGGTAAAAATAAATACAAAATAAACTGTTCTGACTTCTACTATCATTCAGTTTTCAGCAGAGGCAGATCTGGGAAGCAGTATTGTTTGCAAATAATATGCCTGTTTAGAGACATCCAGCTAGATTAGATGATTGTGAAAATTGTGATAAAGGTGTCACTGGAGGAAAATTTATCTGTTCAGCTTTTGTTATTGGATAATGGAAAAGTGTATAAACCAAAGGCCCTCAAATAACAGCTAAAGGAGTTGGGCAAACATGAAATTATGGGAATAAAAAGCTGCACCATAGACATAGACTAGACATAACATCCCATAGTTCCAATGGAATTTGAGATCTTTGGGCATCATGGCTTGTCCCAGGATCTAGTGGTAGCAGGATAGCCAAACCACAGCCATCACTTCCAAACATGGAAGACTAAAACTTTTTCTTCTGTTAAAAAGTCTTTTTGTTATTCAAAAATATGGCATATCAGTTGTCACTGTCAATGAAGTATCCTCAGCATTAAGAAAATAAGAACCATTATTGGGACATAGATAAAGGTTCTGATTTTAGGTGCCTGGGTTCAGAAATTAAATCTGGAGTTTTAGAACTTACATGAAATGAAAGGTGGAAAAACTATTAGCAGTGGCATAGTTTCAATATTCAGTGCCTAATGGTCTTCAAGGACTGGAAGTAAAAGCCCTTGAATACTGAGGGTTATGAAATTTTTGACTCTTGGGACCAGACATCCCATAGGCCTCATCTTTCTTGACAGATGCAATTCATTTAGGTTCACATAAATGAGAAATTATCATTTAAATTTGAAGGAATTATGCTGTCAGGCAGTAAGAGTTTCAGAAACCCTGTGCTTTAGCTTACTTTGTGTATTACCAAGCACGGATACCTTGGGTTTGACTGCTGGTCCTCTGCAGCCTGAGGCTAAGGAACCTTATTATTTTGTTGTATGAAATATTAGTTGTAGCTCCTCACTCAGTCACGTTCCAAACAAAAAGAGGTAACAAGCCAAAGCGTTTCACTTAATTGTCGTGGCTGGGGAAGGAGAAATACATGAGGTGAGAATACTTTTATAAAAAGATAATTGGGAAATAGATGAGATGGACAGTATTGTATGGAAACACTCACAAAATGTCCCTGCAACTGAACAGGGAAAAAACCTGGATGATATACGAGATGATTGTTGACCTTTCGCTTCCTTTTCTCCTGTAGGAGGCTGCTGGGTATCATAACTAAAAAGGATGTATTAAGACATATGGCTCAAATGGCAAACCAGGACCCTGAATCTATCATGTTTAACTAGACTGGTAAAGAAGAAGAAAGTAACCCCAAAGGAATCCCTTCTAGATTAACACGAAGGCTGTGTTTGGTGTTTCAACTTGCTTAAAGAGAAAAAGGTAATGTATATGAAGAATGGCCTGATAATGCCTCTGACAGAGGGAGTGGATGCAGGACAGCACGAATTCAATGAGGAAGGCAGTTTAGAAGCTCTGAGCAGCTGCAGACATCAAGCTGTGTTTCCTTAATGAGATTCCCCACAGCTCAGTTGGAGTGCTGGTGGGTGTAAGTGATGCGGTGCTTAGAGACAAAGAGCCACGAGCACCAGTGGGGGGCATCGAGGTCACAGTAACTCATGAGGCAGGTGTGAAGAGTAGCAGACACTGTTTATGTACAAGCTGCTAAGAGATACAAAGGTCTGTGTTCCAAGCCAAGAGAGTGCAAAGGAGTAATGTCAGTTGCTTTTGTTACTGGAATCATGGCTATTTGTTTGCTACCGAGTTATTCCATTTCCATGATGGAAAAAAATTTGCGTATTTTTAAATGAAATATTTTGTCATCTTTATTTTATTTTGTAAATGTTTAATGAGTCAAGACTGGAGATAAGTCTTAAGAAAATAGTAAGGTTACATCTCAAATCACTTTAAAATGAAGTGTCCCTTGCTCCCTGCTTTAGTCTTTTGAATTTTATACTGCTTAGCATTTCTGTCAACCAGCTTCCCCTTATTAATGTTGAAATGGGATTTATTTGTAAAAAATTATTATCTCTCTATGCAATTTTGCATACAAGTACTGTAAAATTTAGTATTTTGTGTTTTGCTGTGGTAACTGAATAAAACATAGATGCCCATAAAATAGTTTTCAAAAGCACTAAACAGGCAGTGGTATCTGTCCCTCATCAGTGTTAGTGACAAGAGATTGAATCCCTCGCCTGTCTTCCCTTGTGTACATCGCAATTTTTCACAAATGAATGACATTCTGCATTGATTCTTGGTTCTCCACTTAGGTCCTTTTTGTCATTGCTCTTTCTTGGCATTTGTCTGCACTTGCCAAGAGATTGCTGAAATTAATTTAACAGTCATAGACACTTATTCTGTAAGAGATCTACTTTTAATGCACTTGTCAGTCATAGGACTGTGGAATTCCTCTCCACGGCACTGTGGCTGGATAAGATCAGAGGGACTGAGAATGCAAATGATCATAGGAAAGCTTTAAGTATTTATCTGTTTGCACCAAGAACACAAGATTTAACAGACCCTGGTAGAGATCTGTAAGTCACTCAGGTAAAAATGTTAAATTTTCCTAAACCCTTGTTCCAATCCTATGTGAGATAAAGAGGGTCAGCACTTTAGTCAATACTGCTATCAGTAACAGAATACCAAATTACTCTGTAACACGTAATTCATACTGCCCAGTGTTTGCTTTGTAGATGTAAATTTAAAGATTGCAGAAAGGTTGTTCCCTGAATCCCCTTCAGACCTCCTGGTCCCTTCATTTAGGCACCTAAGACCTCTGGTATTTTTGCTCAAATTCACCCATATAACTGGTGGTGTTTGAATGATCCTCATGGATAGAGATGACCTTTGATGTCAGAACAGCCTGTTGCTTACTCCAGCCCAAACCCAGACTGTTGATCTCACATGTAGGCAGTGTGCATGATTATTGTGTTCCTGAACTGAGACAACTACTTAGGTGCACCCTGAGTTAGATGCTGAAGTTCTGTGTCACAAATTCCTCCTCTTATCTCCAGTGACCCTGCTTCCTTCTGGCCTGTGTCCCACTGCATTCACACAGAGTATGGCCTGAACTGCTGAAGTAAGAGAAACGGAAGTAAAGGGATAATTTTAATCTGTTAAGTACTCCACTTAACAATGGTGTTTGCAACAGACTGACATAAATATATGTAGCTCTGGCCAAAGCCCATAAGTGTTTTGGTGTATACTTTTTGTTAACTGAACAGATGCAGTACAATGTATTATTAAAGGGATATTGTTAAAACTATGTAAAATATAGGACTGAACAACCCCTTTCTTCTGCAAATAGGAAATACAACATAATATGGTTATTTCTTACATTTTTCTGGGAAGCTGTCAGCAGCCAAACTCATAAGAAACCAGCCAAGTCAACAATAACGCTCATAAACACTAGATTCCCTCATTTGAACAGAGATGCCATCATAAAATCAGTTCATTCCCATAACTAAATCCAAGTGGGGCTTTATACAATTGTCAGTTTCTACCCATAACTTCTAGAATCTAAGGGATGTAGACTAGGCTAAAAAGGCTGACTTTTGAGAGCAATTTCATTCTTGGATTAAAACTCTATGACCATGTTCTACTTTCCATGTTTGCAAACAGGAAACAATATAGTGTATCAACACTGAAAAACATTATCATTTTCTGACAAAAAGACATGGACTTGCCTAACTGAGGTTAATCTGGCTATGAATACAAATTCACAGATGTATTGACTTGGCTTATCAGGTTAAACTTGTGTGGTTAATTCCTTTAATACCCAGAGGCCTGATTTACTGAAACCAAGGCACCCCTGTGATAGCTTGCTGCCTTGCCTTATTAGAGTACTTAGAAGGAGCCCTCAGGCTTAAAAACAAGATCCAAAAAACCCCCAACATGCTTTGTAGCAAACACCAGCAGAAGGAATTGAGATTTATGCAGTTACTGTGAATGCAGTTTGACCCTGGATTATTGCCCAAGTAAAAGGCAGGTAGATGGGTGTAGAGCTCTCTTCTATCAAGCACATTCCTTTCTAGATGGAAAGCTTTAAATACCTAAGGGGTCAAGGGAAAAACCTTTGGACATGTAACCATGTAGTGCTGCTCCTTTTTCCAGTGTCTGTTCAAAAGATGTTAAACCCTTCAGAGCAGGGGCTGCTATCTCATGCACACTCACGGTTTGGTGCTATCATCAAGGCTGAGGCTGATGCTAGAATGACATGGAGGGCTTTGAAACAGGACAGAATTTGCTAATTAGAAAACTTCCTCCATGCTACAGCCTTTTATTGCTCTTCACACTGGTGTCTGAAAGGGAACTCCCTTAATACAAATTTATAACATGCTTATCTCAAAAAATGCAGTTATGATGTAATGATTTAATTTATTTCCCATAACAAGCTCATTATCAGGCACTGTTTTCCATCTGTATTCCAAAATTTATCTCAGAAGGTACTGAATAGACTCCAAGAGGCATAGATCTCAGCCCTATTTATTTGAATTTGTAGAGCTCAAGATGGTCATGTAGTGTTATCAATCTGAGTTATATGAGTATTTTAATATATACTGCTGACTTTATGCAACCTCAGTTCAGTCCTTCAAGCAGCTGGCCTTCAAAAATGCCCAACTAAACTAAACAGGGGAATAAAAATCTTTGAATTATGGAGGTTCAGTATGTACCTTTGTTTTGCATGAACTGTGTTAAATTACATTCAGCTTCTGATGTGTACTTGAAGCAATCTGTACCAGGAAGTTTAATAATAAAGTACAGAAATGGATGACATTAGACAGACCCTTTGGCTGTCCCAGTGATACTAATTATTAATTCTTATGCTTTGAAGAAGCAGAAAAAAAATGTTTAAGGATTACAGAGGACTGATTCTGTGTTTGAATGACACTATATTTATGACTATAGTTTTGCTTTGGCTCTGTTTGTTGTTTTGGTTTTTTAATTGTAGAAAACAGTGTATATGTTGCACCTTATAAAAAAAACAATGTTTGGACTCTATTTTTTAAATAAAACTGACTTACAGTACTGGAAACATTTCTTGGACATCTTATTAATTAGAAAAATATTTCACTTAATGTCTCTATGATTTTTATGTTTCCTTTTCTCACTTTTATGGATAACTTAGGCTTAAGTTCTAGAGACCTAGGAGATCCAATTCAAATATAGGTTAGGTAATATTAAGTAGGGAGTTAGTAAAAATTCACTCAGTGGACTTCAGAGAATCAGCCTTGACAGCTGGCTATTTTATTTTCAGAGAAAAGTGTTTTTTCTTCAGCATCAGAAATACCTTAGAAATCAAAAAAAGGAAGAAAAACAATGTATCTAACCAGGTTGCTCTGCCTACAATGATCATGAACCTTTAGATGTTGAGAAGACTCTATGATATATTTTTTGTATATATTTTTCTGTTGCAAAGTCCCTATGATATATTTTTTGTATACATTTTTCTGTTGCACTTTAATTCAGAGCTAAGATCAAAAACTGAAAATGACAAGTTCAATCATCCCTATTTAATTGGATGAAACATGCCCTAAATCTGTGTGAGAGGCTAAATTCTAGGCAGTAGCAAAGAACATGGTCTTGATCCTGATCAACATGCTTACGAAGGTGAACATGTCAGCAATATCCTAGTTCAAATTAAATGACACATTTCAGAAGCTGGTTTGGAGTCCCATGGCCTTCAGCTCATTTCATGGATTGCTGTGCCCTTAACAGAGCCCAAAACACACAGCAAAACCCCAGGAGTCATCAGGCATGCAGCAACTTTAATAAATAGTAGTAATTCCTGTAGTTTGTATTTGGTCATGGGGTTCTGAACTTTAGACCTACCTGTCATCACTTGTGATGGCACAGCTGGGAAATGGAATAGAAAATGTTCAGAGGCATTCAGCACTGCTGTGGTGCAGCTGTGCTCCACATATCCTGGCCTACCCTCCATTCATCCAAACCAAACAGTCTTTTACCATCTACATGTCTTCCTTCTCCTTTAGGGGAGGCTCTTCCTCCACATCTCTTTCCTACAACCTGTGTTACTCCCTCGTGCTGTTCTGCTCCAAATGTGATCTTGCTTCTAGCTTCTCGCTGCTGTGGTGGCCCACTAAGGTGGCACAATCTGAGAGACACCATATCCAAAATAAACAATTTGCATCTCCAGTGGAGGGTCTCCACTTGCTGCAGAAAGCATTTTGCATTGCTGCTTCCTGAAGGACACGGCAAACACAGTGTGGCTGGAGTGCTGCACAGAGTTTTTTGGTTGGTTTTTGGCTTGCTATCTCTTAGGATCTGATTACTGAGTTGTCTCTGCCCAAATTAAGGTGCAAACAATAGATGTCAGAGAGAGATAGAAAAGAGTGCAGGAAAGAGAGTGTATGAGAGAGACTAAGCAAAGATATCACCACCACATGGAATCTTGCAGTGTCCTGCTGGACCTTCTTCATCCTGGTCTGCTTGCTGGTGGGGGTTCCCATGTTCTTGTGGAGATAGCACTTTTATACAGCCCAAGTCCTGGGTATCCAAAAGGCGTGGGTGCTATTCCCACCCGGCATGGGATGGCACATGTGTAAGATACTTCCTTTCTCACAGTTTGCCTTGGTGGGAGCTTTTGTCCAGATAGTTACCTAGATCTGCCTCACCAGGCCTGGAACCTTCCTGTTGTTGCTGTCAGTGCTTTCCCCACAGTTTGCACAGCAGAATTTTGTCCAGTGTGTTAATTCCAAACTCACCTCTGGTTAGGTCTGCCTTCCTTTTTGACATCTGTGATTATTCTAAGGTCCTGTTGTAGTGGATTCCCTGGGAACTTTCTTGTTTCACAGTGTTTGAGACTATTCATTGTGCTTCTCCAAGTCCTCACTTTACCTTAACACAGTATCAGAAATATGAACTGAGAAAAATAGCTGCTGCATTTCACAGATCAATCTAGCATGTTCACCATCTCAACCAGTAAGCAGTGACTTTCCAGTGAAGTCAATCTGGAGCTGGGATGTGACTCTGAGAGCTGTATCCTGAAGCAGTTATGGGCTCTTAGGCAGAATGAGACAGGAACTGCTGACCTGTAGCTGCAGCATTTTGTTAACTCTCCATCCCTCCTTTACCTTATTGTATTCTGAGCATAATTAATATTCTCTGTTTGAGCACATTACAAACCCTGTTTTAGC